ATAAATTACCGTAATTCATTGCAGCAAGTACAAAATTCATGCACAACACTGCAATAAAATCCAATAATACATGAAATAAGGTATCAAATAAAATTATCAATTAAAGATAGCACTGGCTGACTGAACTGAACATAACTTCATACCTTGTGTACTTAATGAAAAAGAAATACAGTGCCACCTACTAAATCTGGAAAATATTGCAAGTCATTACCACTACTTTTAAAGAGCTTGAGTGAAGAATCGCAAGTTCTACAGTCTAAGAAGTCAGAGCTGCGATGTTTTTGGCAAGTATTACGAATGCTTCCAGAAAGGAGGGTGAAACAATTAATCTAGTGCTTGCTCAACGAACCGGTTGAAGATCTTAGGAACGGTCAAGAATAAGATGGAAGCAGGTATTTCGAAGAACTCTCCAAAATTGGGTTATTTTCTACCGAAACTCAAATGTTTGCACATAACTCCTAGGAACATGAGGAAAGTCTTACCAGTATGCCTCGCCACCTGAAAGTATGAGCGGTTATCGAAAGCGATGGCCTGACTCCTACCTTGCTTTAAAAATTTTATTATATTCAGCTATGATCTAGATAGCCATAAAAATGCGCTTTGTACAGTTGATCGCTCATCACAGAAAAAGAAAGCATGGCATCACCGTAAGATCGATCTTTATTGATTTCGATTATTGGGCCACTTTGGAGCTCTTCTTTTCATAAGATTGACGGTGCGGTGCTGATCTATGCCATCAGCGAGGAATGCGTTACTTTCTGAAGGTAGAAGATATAGCTATACGACAAACGTTGGGTATAGTGTCCTGCTTCCTTCCCACAGAGCAGTACTGTTTATCTACATCGGAAGGAAGAAAGGCGACCGATCAGGGATTTAACTCGGTTCTACAAACAACTCCGCACTGAAGCAGTGTGTGGTAAATTACTTGCTCAAGGGAATGTGTGAATAAGATAAAGATTACGCTTGAACGGAATCAAACCCGACATTGCAGAAGTTCGAAGCAGATCTGTTATATACCTGTGCCAACACGCCACCATTACAAACCCTGTTTCGAAACTTTCTAGTGCATGTGGCTTTGAAAGCAGGTGTTGGTCATGAAGATGAGTGGAATGTACTGGAGAGTAGAAAAAAGCTGACCGACCTCTAGAGAGTAAATACTGAAAAGACTCGCAAGTTACGAAACCAAATCAGCAAAACCCGACAAAATTAAATGAAAAAACAGCTCAACCTAATACCTAGAGGTGAAAAATGTCATGACTATTGATTTTATGCATAATGCAGAAGGGGTCAGTCAGAAAATTGACCGGTACCGACGTTTCGGCCGGTGCGTCAAGGATCTCCTTTAGGAAAACGTGCAGGTAGGGTTCGACAATGAACACAGAATGATTTGCGGACGACCGAAAGGATTAGTGAATAATCTGTTTTTGCTATTTTTCAGGATGATTACCAAAGCAAGAAACAAATACTCGAACGAAAATTAGGTAGGTAGAGTATTGGACAGTCAACAAAGGCGATATATAATTGAACGGATGACAGTAAGACCAATTTAGTTTGTACTTCGGTTTTAGTATAATTATGGGATACAACAAACAACTGGATTTGAACAAAGTGTATAAGAAGTACAACATCCCATCTCTTCACTGCTCAGATCTTGGTCAGAATACAAAAGCTGTAACGATAAATAAAAAGGACGTGGGAAACTTAAATAACGCAAATCACACAAAGCCAAGGACACAGAGGACGCCCGAAACACCAGCGGGATGATATCTTCATGTTAAATATAATAACTCAATATTAATTGCAAGCTTATGAACATGGGAACATTCAAAATAATCTACAAAGATCCGGAATTAATCAACAAACATAAAAGCAACAGTAATAAGTGCCTAATTTGAAGACTTGCACGGCGAAGTCGAAGGATCGACTACGATCAGATATCGACTTCGCAATGCAACAATCAACCACTGTGAAAGCAAAGCATTTTCACAATCAGCATCGCTTTCCAGCTTTCTTGTGACTGGCGCATGCCGCAGAAAGATCCACCACATTGATCGTGCACCCTGCAAAACGTAGTTTGTGTAAAAACATTTCAATGATATAATGCTAATTGGTTACCTGCTTGCTGACAGCAGTGATAATGATAAAGCTTAGAGCATGAAGGAAACGCGCACTGAATGGCTGCGCCGAAGTTGCGGCACACACTACAACGCTGAAACAAGCTGTTAGGCGGCAAAAATTAAAAATGAAATCAAAAGCACGACAAACAAGACATATGAAAAATTAAATCAAGTTAAAGCAGAATTTAACTTTAAAAAAGATGTTTTAAAAGAAGAACAAAGTCAGATATGGAAAAATTATGAACAATGGATTCTCATTAACGTTGGTCCATGTTTGAATCTCCTATGAAGAAAATGTATACAGTTTCCAAGCATGGTTCCGAAGGTTAATTGCAAAAAAAGCAACATTTCTTGAGTAATATTGACAATTCTGCTGTCTCTGACAGAAAAGGACACATGCAAATGCCATGTCATGTTGGAAAAAAAAGACATCGGAAAAGCAGATCAAACTGGAGTATCTGAAAACAATGAGCCCAGGTAGTTGATAGATATATTTCAGCATAAAATGCAGAAGTATGATGAAAATGTTCGTGTAAAATCGTATTTTACAACTGCATAAGTTCCCATATGAATCGACAGGTAACAAACATAAAGCAGAGTGCATGTTTGTATCTCTTCTGCAATCTTCATACCAACTGGGGGTGCAGATCTAACTTTCATAGCCTAACTGAGTCCATTTACGAGAACAGAGTTGCTGACTTATACCGTTCTGATATTTTCAACAATGTGATGATTTAATCAAACAGTCGTTAAGTAGAGGAAAAATGTTCTACAGTCATCTGTTTAGTGAATTTTACGGCTATAAGCAAGGTGATTAATGTTACCGCATTCAGTAAGCTACAGTATTCGGTAACCATCTATTAATCGTTAGCGACTAAAGCAGTGTATCTTCCGAATATTGTCCAAAACAGGAATTTCAGCATTTTCCACAGTAGGAATCCGAAAATTAATAATGTAAAGACAGTTGGAAAAAGACAGAAGAGCCAGCAGCAATTCTACCCGTTCACGTAAGCAAACGTAGAGGCAACAAGACCGAGCAGAAATGAGACAAGCAAAAGCTAGCACAGAAAGGAGTCCATACACCTTCGTGAATGGGCCGTTTCAAGCGCTCTTCTTTGCACGAATTTAAAGATGGGGCGCAAATCTCCATTTCCATGTAATGAGTCTGGTGTGTCTCATTGTAAAGGCAGAATCGACAACAGCTACGTGGCAAGCATAATCTGTGGTTAATGACATGTGTATGAAGCGACTCTACTGAAAAATCAACTTTTCGATAAGAAACCCATCTTTGATCATCATAGTCAGCACAAATCGGCTGACTGACTATGAGAAGGCAAACGCTTAACCACCATGGTCTGTATTTACGATAACTGTCAATGCATAAGCGGTTTAGATTTATTAACGAAGATAATGACTAGAATGGAATCGGGCATCCACTTATAATCCAAAAAGAAATAATTGCGTTCGTAACAACAGAAACTATGGAACGGATCGAGAAAAAACTACATCATGGCAATAAAAGTCTGAACATCATACACACAGACACACACCGAAGTAATAAAACGACCTTAACTGTGGATTGTTATTTTCGCAGGGGCCTTGCATCAAGACTACAAGTCTCGATACCACTATTTTGGTATAAGTTTTGTTTGTGGAGCGAATGAAATCGAGAACTCAAATTTGCCTCTATGTCCGAATCAAACCCAAATTCGAAATGTTACATCGGCTTCTGTCAGCGATCACCAAAATATAGACTGCTGTTTAGCAGCAGACTAATTCTTAAGCCAATTTCTGAACCTGAACTGGAGGTGATTTTGCACATCTGAAGTGATGTATTAGGGCAATAGAACGACCTCAAGGATTGCGGCACGGTTTCATGGCTAAAATCATTATGCAGACTGTTTATGGCAGTTAAGTCTACCTCGTTGACATCACAAGATCGGGGACATCGCAAGATACCACTTACCCGCTTCACACAGATTTAAGCCTATCAATCTCAGAGTTCCGCTGCATGAAGAAACATCATTATTCTGAAAACAAGAACGCAGCTGCATAGAAAATCAGCGAGGATACCGTAACTAATTCGCATCACCATTGATTCCTCCTTCCTTAGAGTTTTGTTTCCCTCTTTCTACACATGTTACGCAATACTTTTTGTTGTACACTGTATATATGGTAGTGCTGAAAGCAGAAAGAAGCATCTATTTGCATAACACTAATAAATATTGAAATACCTTATCGTTCACTTTCAATTTGGCGACGGGCAGAGACCAGTGGCAAATCCTCATGAGCAGCTGCTCCGCTAAATGAAAGGAAGAACGGGTAATGAAAATGAACGAATCAAGTTTTAATCTGCTATACCCTTCAAATAGCAAGGCCGGATGTTGACTGAGTGTTTCTTACAATACCAGTGTTCCTCTAATCAGGCCACCTCCACGGAAAAAATTTCAAGGATTCAATATGCCAGACACCAGACATACACTCTAGCAATATTGCTTATTCGCCTCC